TGCCCAGTCACACTCTATGTCAAGGAGCGTGGCATGTCAGTAACGAGGCATTATAGAGCACGGAGAAGGGGATTTATGCTTATCTACGTGAATAGATAGAAAGCTCAAGGCTATTTTGTTTTTGTTTTTTAATAATGTTCACGTTGTACAAATGGCAAAGGTCACTCAAGAGGTTAAGATTGTAGTGGTCGGAAAAGGATCCTCGTGGTATTCTGCTGAACAAAGCAACAGTTCTTGGGAAGAAGCTATCCGATGGAACTTACTCCTTACTAATGGTATACGAAGATATTCTATCTATCTGAATCCGTTTGGATCTATCTATCTATCTATCTATCTATCTATCTATCTATGTGAATCCGTGTGTATCTATGCGTAAGACTATCTATCTATCTATCTATCTATCTATCTATCTATCTATCTATCTATCTATCTATGTGAATCCGTGTGTATTTATGCGTAAGACTATCTATCTATCTATCTATCTATCTATCTATCTATCTATCTATGTGAATCCGTGTGTATTTATGCGTAAGACTATCTCTATCTATCTATCTATCTATCTATCTATCTATCTATCTATCTATGCGTAAGACTATCTATCTATCTATCTATCTATCTATCTATCTATCTATCTATGCGTAAGACTATCTATCTATCTATCTATCTATGCGTAAGACTACAATTCAATAACATTTATCTAATGTATTGTGATTTTTTGTTTATTTTAATATCAAAGTTGCCATATTGTGTTCTTCATTATATTTCTAAAGTAATGCGGTGGCAATTGACTATTTACGTAATATTGGGTTCCATGGCAACAACCAAAGAGGAGTCTCCTTGAAGTGGACGTGCACTCTACTTTGGATGTAGTGCCTCTTACTTGGAATCATGATGAGACAGGGTAAATTTCAGTCTATCACCGATGAACATTTCACTTGACTGGAATATACGTTGTCTGCTTTCATTTGTTTTTCTCTCTCTGCCGTCTGCGTAGACCGCATCAATTTCGTCGACTTCTTCTTTCGATTCAATCTATTGTAATTTATGTCGTATGTAATAAAGTATTTTTAGATGAGGTCAATTTATATTTAGTGCCCACCCAAATATATTTAGCAAATGTCGACACATCTAATCGATCGTATTATGAGCATGCGCGAGCCCAGGCAAGGGAGACCCGGACAAGACATTTATCCACGGCCCGATTTTTTTTTCTATTTTTTTTAACAAATCAGCAACGAGAGAAAAAGCCGATAAGAATATCGGCGAGAAGTGTACGAGAAAATTGTAGAGGAGGAAGAGGATGAGTAAAAGAAGAGGAGGAGTAAAAGAAGAGGAGTAGTAAAAGAAGAGGAGGAGTAGATAATAGGAGGAGGAAAAGAAGAGAAGGTGTAGGTAGTAGTAGGAGGGGAAAGGAAGTGAAGGTGTAGGTAAGAGAAGGAAAGGAAGAAGTAGGTAGTTGGAAGAGGGAAGGTAGGGAATATGTAGGTAGGAGGGGGAAAGGAAGAGAAGGTGTGGGTAGGAGGAGGAGGAAAGGAAGAGATGGTGTAGGTAAGAGAAGGAAAGGAAGAAGTAGGTAGGTGGAAGAGGGAAGGTAGGGAATATGTAGGTAGGAGGGGGAAAGAAAGAGAAGGTGTGGGTAGGAGGAGGAGGAAAGGAAGAGATGGTGTAGGTAAGAGAAGGAAAGGAAGAAGTAGGTAGGTGGAAGAGGGGAAAGTAGGGAATATGTAGGTAGGGGGGGAAAGGAAGAGAAGGTGGGTAGGAGGAGGAGGAAAGGAAGAGATGGTGTGGGTAAGAGAAGGAAAGTAAGAAGGGTAGGTAGGAAGAAGGAAGGTAGGGAATATGTAGATAGGAGGGGGAAAGGAAGAGAAGGTGTGGGTAGGAGGAGGAGAAAAGGAAGAGATGGTGTAGGTAAGAGAATGAAAGGAAGAAGTAGGTAGGTGGAAGAGGGAAGGTAGGGAATATGTAGATAGGAGGGGGAAAGGAAGAGAAGGTGTGGGTAGGAGGAGGAGGAAAGGAAGAGATGGTGTAGGTAAGAGAATGAAAGGAAGAAGTAGGTAGGTGGAAGAGGGAAGGTAGGGAATATGTAGGTAGGAGGGGGAAAGGAAGAGAAGGTGTGGGTAGGAGGAGGAGGAAAGGAAGAGATGCTGTAGGTAAGAGAATGAAAGGAAGAAGTAGGTAGGTGGGAAAGAGGGAATATGTAGGGGAGGGGAAAGAAAGAGAGGGTGTGGGGTAGGAGGGGAAAAAGGAAGAGATGAGGAAAGGAAGAGATGGGGGAAAGGAAGAGAAGGAAAGGAAGAAGAGGAGGGGAAGAGGATGGTAGGTAGGAGGGAGGAGGAAAGGAAGAATATGGGGTAGAGAAGGAAAGGAGGGGAAAGGAAGAGGGAAAGGAAAGGTGGGTAGGGAGGAGGGGGAAAGGAAGAGATGGTGTGGGTAGGAGGAGGAAAAGGAAGAGATGGTGTAGGTAAGAGAAGGAAAGGAAGGTGGGAAGGAAGAGGGAAGGTAGGGAATATGTAGGTAGGAGGGGGAAAGGAAGAGAATGTGGGGTAGGAGGAGGAGGAAAGGAAGAGATGGTGTAGGTAAGAGAAGGAAAGGAAGAAGTAGGTAGGTGGAAGAGGGAAGGTAGCGAATATGTAGGTAGGAGGGGGAAGGAAGAGAAGGTGTGGGTAGGAGGAGGAGGAGGAAAGGAAGGGATGGTGTAGGTAAGTTGGTGATCATGGCTCCCCACAATTTCCTGTCCTGTATAGCTCTTAATAACTTTTGTCTTTTTTCCATCTCTCCGAAACCCTTCCCCTCTACCCATTCAATTAACCTCGACAGGTAGGTTGTGTGTTTTTCTTCTGTCTCTCTTACCTTCAATCTGTCATGTGAGTATCAACATTTCCAAGCCCTCTTTCCTCTCCATAATACCCAGCCTTTTGTAGCTCTTAATAACTTTTTGTATTTTTGCCATCTCTCCCAAATTCTGCTCTGCCATCCATTCACTCAAGGTTGCCAGATAGGTTGTGTGTTGGTTTCCCCTGTCTCTGTTACCTTTAATCTGTCCTGTGAGTATCAACATTTCCAAGCCTTTTTTCCTCATTATGTGACCCAGATGTTTCAACTGCCTCTTTCTCATGTTAGGTAGGTCCTTGTTTCCACTGTCTCTATAACTTCGTCGTTGCTCACATGTTCGGTCCAGGGTATTCTCAGCATCCTTCTGTTGAACAATATTTTTGTTGCTTCAAGTTTCTTCTTCATCTTTAATGAGATTATCCAGAATTCACTGCCATATAAGATATTACATAACAGTTCAATATTCGGTACTTTGTTTCTAACGATATTTTTCTCTTTCTTAATACTTTGCTCTGCTTTTTTTAACAAGTTTAAATCTATCACCATCTAGCCAATCGTTCCTAATTTAATGACTTCGATCCTGACTGCGTCACGAACTACAAGGAAGTAAAATAATCCTAATCGTCAACTTCTGTCTCTCTTATTTTACTCTCTGTTTCTTTCACTCTCAGTAACCCCATGTAGCTTAGTAGCTTTTATTGCTTTATTTTGAATGAAATGATTTAAAAAGCCCGATAATCGTACTTATTATAAAACCCAGGTTGTGTGTGTGTCTGTTCGTTTATATATGGGATCGGATTTCCTACATTTTTCAACCGATTTCAACAAAGCTTCACTTTTTTTTGGCAGGTAGTGTTTCTTATTGTCTTGCACACTGTTTTCTTTATTTTTACATTCAGAATGCTTTAAAAATTCCATTTACAAGACAATTGTTTATAATAAAATTCTATTCAATCGGTAGACTCATAACGATTGAAAACAATGTTTTTGGTTGAGTTTAGGTTTGATCAATTCGTAAAAGAAACAAAGCAAAACAAAACAAACAAAAAAAACTAATTAAGACATGCGTGTCCATCAACCTTAAACAATTATCTTTGTCAATTTTATTTTTCAGTCTTTATGATGGTCGATACTTGATCTATCTTTTACTGATACATCCCCGGGCAACGACGGGCTCTACTGCTAGTTACTAATACTAAAGATCGTACAAGCAGAGAGCAAAGGGAGGAGGAGGAAAAGAAGGAGGAGGAGATGAGAAGAGAAAGAGGAAAGAAAATGCGAGAAGAGAAAGAGAACATTGAATGAAGAAAGAAGAGGAAGAAAAGGAGGTGAACAAATATAAATTAGGGAGAGGATAAGAATAGAGGAGACGAGACATAGGAGAAGAAGAGGGGGAAGAGAGATGAGGGGGAGGAAGAAAAGTAGAAATCGTAAACGCAAGGGAAAGAAGGGGTACCTAGCCATTATGAGGGATGGAAAGGGAAATGCATTGAGTAGAGGAGGAGGAGGGGGAGACGCATAATGAGAAAAAAAGAAAAGAAATGCATTAAACAGAAAGAAAAGGAAACCAAGAAAGATTGATTGGTTTTTTACGGCTTATCAACACTTTGCAGGTTATTTAAAGCCAGATATTTAAAAAAAAATTGTAACAATTTTTTTTCAGATAATAATAGTTTAGTGATACTAATTAACCCTTAACTGAGGGAGAGGATGTTGATTCATAGCTAATCAGAATTTGATAAACAAACAAATAATTATGATGTGTATATAAAGTGGGGGATCAATTCTATATAACAATCAATATATAAACTGATCCCTCACTTTGTGGCAACCGGTAATTTCTATACATTTATATTCTAGAGAATGTATATAAATCTAAAAGAAAACCTGTATAGCTAACTCAATATTTAACTGATTGATTCGTTTTTTACAGCTTATCAACCCTTTGCAGGTTATTTTAAACCAGAAAAGATTTTTAAATCGTAACATTTTTATTGAGACAATAATGGTTTAGTGATAGAATCTTACTAATTAACCCATAGCTGGGGGGAGAAGATAAGGATTCATACATTTCCCAATAGTAACCCAATCGGAATTGGAATTCGGCTCCCTTACTATCAGTTCCGTGTCAATATCTGTTACACCCCTCGCCTTGCACATCTAGGCTAACAATATTTTGTATTCCCAAGCGGTCATCCATCTAGGTACTGACGAAGTTTGAGGTTTCTTAACTTTGGTGATCGTACGGGAAGCAGTGTTTCAACGTGTTATGGCCGTAAGCCTATAACTAAAGACGGAGAAGGGGTATAGCGAAGAGAAAGAGGTGGAGAGGAGAAAGAGAAAACGGAGAAGGGGAGGAGGAGGAGGAGGAAGATAAAAACATTCGTGGAAGAGGAGGGGGGAAACATGGGAAATAAAGAAAGAAGAGGGAGAATAAGAAGAAATATGACTGATTAGTAATAAAAGAGATATACAGAAGAAGAAAGAGGAATATAAATAAAAGAGTGAGGGAGAGGGAGGGATAGTGAAAAGGCAGAGATTTCTAAGAGCTAAAAACGATAGGAAGATGGGGAGAGCCATGATCGCCCATGTCATAAAGAGAAAAAGAAATGAAAAGTTAGATAAAATAAGTAATAAGCGTACGGTGAAGGATAATAAGAGAAAAGAATCAATAATACGACTGAGTAGGAGGGAGACGAGGAAGAGGAGGAGGAATACGAAGAGAAGGAGAAAGAGGAGGAAGAGGAAGAGTAGGAGGAATATGTGGACGGGCGTGAGGGATGGGTGGGCAGTATTGAATGAATCACCTAAAGGTAGAAATAGTACGCACCTACACACAGGCGCCTTCACGCATGCGCACGCGCGTACACAGACACATACGCACACACATACGCACACACGTACACACACAACCCAGATTTTAGCAAAGAGAGAGAGGGAAATAGAGATTTTAGCAGGGTGAACTCGAGAGTGAGGTTGGGAGTGAGCGAAAGTGAGAGATTTTAGCAGAGTGAGCGAGAGAGAGAGAGAGAGAGAAAGAGAGAGATAAAGAGAGAGAGTGAGCTAGAGTGAGAGAAAGAGAGAGAGAGAAAGAGAGTGAGTGTAAGCTAGAGAGAGAGAGAGAAAGAGAGAGATAAAGAGAGAGAGTGAGCTAGAGTGAGATAAAGAGAGAGAGATAAAGAGAGAGAGATAAAGAGAGAGAGTGTGAGCTAGAGAGAAAGAGAGAGAGAGAGAGAGAGAAGAGAACGAGGAAAAGGTAGAAAGAATAACGGAATAGTGAAAGACATGAGTCGAAGGCATTATTAGCGAAATCTTGGAAACGATCGGCGGTTGTCGACCGACGATTGCCCGCTCATTTCCATCAGCAGCAGCAGCAGTAGGTTGGGAAGATTTGCGTCAATTTTGGGGGTGGGGGCTCGGGCGTCTATTTTTAGAAACCGAACCGAGTATTTTTGGCAAACTCTGCTAAAATCGTAGCAGCAGGAAATGACGATCAAGAAATCGAGGTGGATGGGTGCGGAGGAGGGGGTGCAGATTAGTTGGTAAATTTCGAAAAATCAGTGAATACTGACGAAAAGGAATTGATCAGTATAGATATTAACAGACTTCTATAATTATAGGCACACAGGAATTACAATTCTCATAAATACCTATCTATCTGTCAATCTATGTGGCTCTATGTCTGTACATACATATCTACTTTAGTCTCGCCTTATCTTGTAGATATGAACAGAAAATTAGCAGATTTTAGCAGAATGAACGAATCAGTTGAGGCAAATGTTAGATAGATAGACAGACAGATAGATATGAACAGATTGATAGATATGAACGGATATGATAAAAACATAGATATAAACAGACTTAGACTGATATATATATATATATATATATATATATATGTATATGTATGTATGTTAAAAAAATATAAATAAAAAGAAAAGTCATCCACAGACAGAATGTTTCCGTGTATCTCGAGACTTATGCGATTGCTTCTACCTGGGATCGAAACCCGACCGATGTGGTATTAGTCAGATATCCTACCCCTTGGCTATCGTCGCATGCCAGAAAGAAGGGAAATTTTAACTTTTTGTATATCTAGAGAGACAGGGAACAGACTGATATATATATATATATATATATATATATATATATATATATATATGTGTGTGTGTGTGCATCTATATCTATATATATATATATAAAGAGAGAGAGAGGGGGAGATAGATTAGTCTGTTTAGATTTATCTCAATCTGTTTACATCTACGTATACTTCTATCTCTATCACTCTGCTCATATCTATCTATCTATCTATCTATCTATCTATCTATCTATCTATCTATCTATCTATCTATCTATTTATCTATCTATCTATCTATCTCATTCCTTTCAAATATATGTAAAATAAAGTGAATATATTTTAGAAGACGTCTAAGTCGTCCATAGCCTTAATGTGGCATTAAATCCTAAACGACAAACCTTGCTGTGATAGATGCAGTCTGATTGTGCAAAACTATACGAATTTTCGGATCCCAAACGATCCTACATAAGATTAAGACAATTCATCTTCGCACTCTTTTAATTTCCTATCCTATGCCATACGACTCGTGTTGCAATGACTATCGCAATTCCCTTATCGTGAAGACGACTGAACAACCATCTATTTCTAACAGGATTTACAGACTATTCCTGATTTAACTTCGTAATGAATTAAAATATCTTCATAAATGCAATTTAACAAGGACAAATAAAAACGTAGGTGTCGCACGTTGTTGAATGATCATAATGCTGGTAAACTAGTTACGAGTCTTAAGTACACGTCGTGATTGCAAGTTTTTGAAAATGGTACAGATACAAAGAGACGGATGACAACATTCCCGTTCACGTCTTTATGACCAACATTTCCAGGAACTTTTGAAGGACAGACGTAATTGCTTTCTTGTTTGACTGAAGAAGAACTTTCATCTCTTGTTCAATTTAGAGAACCGAATAAACCGTGTGATTTGTCAGCCAAAAACAAAGCGAACATCCAATCATTTAATGGTGAAGATTAACAATTCTTTATCTGTTGAACGGTACATCACCATAAACGCATTGTCAAGTAGAAAATGATAACGGTAGTGAGTTCGATCCTCACTAAGCACCCTATATTTATAACCAGATCTAGAACTTAGTAAACAATTTTCCTTTATATATATATATATATATATATATATATATATATATATATATATATATATTATATATATTCCCTTTCTTTAAGTTTCCACTTATATTACATCTTGGTAATCTATTGCTTTTAACATCGGTCCTTGATAATAATTTTTCTTATCAACTTCTTTTGTTTTATTCTGTCGACGATTATTTTAAGGAAGCATATATATATATATATATATATATATATATATATATATATATATATATATTTTTCTATGATTCAATTTCTAAAGTTATCTATTAGTAAAAAAAAAATAAATAAATTAAGCTTTTAAGGGTAAAAGTGGTCCCTGGGTTAAAAAGGTTAACTACAGATTTAACCTGAGAGGCCAGGGACAAAACATTCATTGAAAAGTTACCGAAATGCTGGAGTGAAATAAATTAAAAAAAAAAAACAAAACTCAAATACACATACCTTTTCTAGCAGAAACGAGACCAAAAAATGTAAGTTTTAGCGTCCCTTTTACTCTACCGGATCTTTTGATTGTAAATGCTGAATAAAAACTGAGAAGGAAATATAAAGGAAGGATTATATATATATATATATATATATGAAGAAATATAGTATTATATTTATGGGATAAAGTGCTCAATATCAGAGATGGAGCGTGTGTAAATATAAAAGTGAATATAGAAGTCAACACTTAGAGGCGACAGTTCATTTATAAGTTAGATGCAATCGTCAGGCCACACTGTGGCCTGACGATTGCATCTGTCGCCTCTAAGTGTTGACTTATGTTCAATTTTATATATATATATATATATATATATATATATATATATATATATATATATATATATATATATATATATATATATATATATATATATATATAAAATATATAAAGGAAAATTATAAAAATTATAATTTATTATATAAATTAATATATTAATAATAGCAATATTAATTTTAAATATTGGTAAAATAAAATAAATAGCAATATTAATTTTAAATATTGGTAAAATAAAATAAATAGCAATATTAATTTTAAATATTGGTAAAATAAAATAAATAGCAATATTAAATTTAAATATTGGTAAAATAAAATATTAATATATTAATATAAATTGTTTAAAATAAAGTATTAAAAAATATTTATTTTCATTGAATTAGGTTTACTTGAAAATAAAACATATACATTTACTATTTCTATAATACAATTCCTAAACTTATCTATAAGTAGGGAAAAAAAGCTTCTTTTTTTATCGAATGATTCTGTCGACTAAAATAATTTAAGAGTAAAGTTGGTCCATGGATAAAAAAAAGTTTGAGAACCATAGAAGTTGTTGATCAACTCCATGTCGAAAATCGTTGCATATTCTCAGCTGGTAGCAGTAATTTGTGTCCTATGTCGGTTGAAAATAATTTTAAAGATAGAAAGCACTTCCCGATTTGCATCACTGGCATTTGACCTTTACTAAATTATAACTTATTTATTAATTGCAACTTAGTTTTGCCACAATGACAGAAATACAGGGCAACAACGACAGAAACAGACGGCAGCGAACGAGGATTGAACTCAGAAGTAATGATTTGCAAAGACCAGCGAGCGAACAATTATGCTACAATAAATTTCCCATATTAAGAACCGCATTATAATTATCCAGAGTTCTTTTAAGAAATGGTTTAAACTAAAAATAAAATCATCAATTTGAAATGATTGTTGACCTAAACACAACTGGCAATGTCTGAAAAGTTAATAAAGGAATGGTAAAAATTTGGTTTCCCATGTCGTTCTTAGAGTAATTAGAATATCTGTGAAAGCTCATTGGATTGATAGAAAAGATCTAAGTCATGTCAGTGAAATTTTTCTTTGAAGGATAATGAAAGATTTTTTGTTTGTGTAATCAATAATCATTATTCACCTTAGATAATTTCATGAGTGTCTGCTTTTAGTTCTGTCTGTCTGTCTCTGTCTGTCTGTCTATCTATCTATCTATCTATCTATCTATCTATCTTTCACACTCTTTTTAATATATTTCACAATCTTTCTCATTCTGTTTATTTCTGTTTCTAACTCGGTTCAGATCTATCTATCTATCTATCTATCTATCTATCTATCTATCTATGTCTGCTCAAATCTATTCATGCAGTCTGTAGTATCTATCTATCTATCTATCTATCTATCTAACACAAGTTTTTACTCTCACAATAATTTTTTAACAGCCTGTCTCTCTAAGTCATTTCCTATCTATCTATCTATCTATCTATCTATCTATCTATCTATCTATCTATCTGTCTATGTGTCCTATTATGTGTCACTGTTTCAGACTAGTTTGATATTTCTGGAGCTAAACATCTGCTGTTGACTCAATTTAAGATAACACTGTGACAAATAAGGTTGAAAGAAGATTCGTTTTTTGTTGTACATGCATCGCAGAGCTTTAATCTTGAGATTATTCCACAAGAGTTGTTTAATGAACATGCGCCTTTGCTGAAATAAATGTTTTGGAAAATATGATTTATTACTTTTGATTAAAACACAACTTTAGTTTTGAACACGACATTTTCGAGATAATATCTCTATTTCTGAGACAATTCATTATAATTCCATCAGTTGTTCGGCTTAAGGAAAGCATCTGTGCCGCCTTTGTTGTTATCAGGAAGTTTCGACTCTCGTATTCCAGTCTTCAGGCGTTTAATTTCAAAGGTCTAGTGGTCCTTGCTTTGCTGTAGAAGTTGTGGCGGACTCTACCACATTAATTTAACTTTAGATTAAGAAACAAAACTGACGTGGAAAACGATAAAAGAAACATCGTTACATATAAAATGTATTTAACAAGATGTACAATCAAAAGCATGGGAAAGAAAATGCATTTAAGATTAAAAGTTGAATAAAACAAGGTTTCTTTAACTTTTATTTTGTGAAAGTTCACTGAAGAATGTTTATAATGACTGTTCTCAAAGATTTTTTGGAAAAAAGAATATGTGTGTGTATAAGAATGTTCAGCATGTGAATGGTTGATTAAAAGGTTGGCGCACTTTTCAACTGCCGTTTTTTTGGCAGCTGAATTTCACAGATTTGCGAAGAAAAATTCTCTGCTTATATAAGGACTATATGCAGATGGCTGCACGGAAAAGTTATTCATCACCTGTTCGATATGATTGGTTGGTATTGACCAATCAGCGACGAGCTTTGGGGAGACTTAAGAAAACTTCAGTGATCCGTTTCTCTCAAAAGTGCACAAAATTGACTACTTGAATATAGAGCGATTAGAAAATTGTTGCATTGCTGCGATTTGTAAATTGTCTATAATAACGTAGTGGTGATTTATTAACCAATAAATTCTTGTCATTGTATGAATTTGAATTTGCATGTATGTATGTATACAGGTCACATTAATTTAATCTGGTTATAATAAGAATAACAAAACTGGCGATGTGCAGAAAACTAAAAAGTTAAATACACATAAGGATGGATGTTTATATGATTCTTTTTGTTGACAATAATTTAGCGCAAAAAAAAAAATACATAAACAAAAAATAAACGAATACAACTTCGCCGGTTCGGAAAAATGGCGCCTTATCTATTTGGCCACGGAGCCTTCACATTCGTTAATATTCATGAGAGATCTTGTGAAACTGAAAACATTCTATATCAACATGCAAATATGTAAATTAAGTATCTAAATTAAAATCCACATAAATCAAATTTAAAACGACAACATTTGGAAAGTACACCCATCCAACGAGACTCGGACAGGTGGTACCCGGCATTGAAATCGGGTGCTTTATCGATTTGTCTACGGAGAATTCACGTACGGTAACTATAATAAAAATATCTTGTATAAATGAAAACATTCTATATTAAAACACAAATTAAAAGTAAGTTTATGACCTCCATATTAGGTATACACCGCCGACGCAACTCGAATTCGCAATCTCCAACTTAAAAAAGGACAGTGCCTTATCCATTAAGCCGTTAGGGAACACGTTAGACTTTTTTTAAAAATCAATATATATATATATATATATATATATATATATATAATTTTTTTTTATAAAAAAAAATTATAACATAAGTATGTTATAAAATCACTACAAAAATAGCCATTTTGTTTCAACACACTCTGTGTCTTATCAAGATGATGTTGAATATATATATATATATATATATATATATATATATATATATATATATATATATATATATATGAAAAAAGCTCAAACACTAATATTCCATGGTTATAATTTATTACATTGGAATCGTAATCTCGATCCAATTCATCAGACATAAAAATTCAAAAAGAAATTGGAAAATATAACCCCGGGTATAAAAAAAAAAATTTTAGTGAGAGTGTATGTGCGGGAGAGGGAAACAAGTTTGAAAGTGAGATGTATGAAAGTTTTAGAGAGGGGTGAAATAGAAGAAAGAAGAACAGGAAAGGCCTAAAGGTGAAGGTGGGGATTAAAATTTAACAGAGAGCAATTTTAAAGAGAGGGGATAAATAACGGTTTAAATGAGTGAGATACAGATAACTATGAATTATTTTTCGAGGCATAATTCGCTTTGGATCGTGATTACGATTCCAATGTAATAAATTATAATCATGGAATATTAGTTTGAGCTTTTTTATTATATTATTACTCTGTCCTGAACATTGAGTTCTACCTAGATTCTATCCTCGTGGAAATTTACATATATATATATGAAGAAAAATATACGGAAAAAACAAACAAAAATCCTAATTGCATATTAGGATTTTTGTTTGTTTTTCCATATATTTTTCTTCATACTGTCGGATCTATATCCATATATTTGCTTACATACATACATATATATATATATATATATATATATATATATTGATATATAATATATATATATATATATATATATATATATATATATATATATATATATATATATTGTGTTACACCCCAAGCAAGGCGGGAAGTCACTAGCACGCAAGGCGTTACAGAGAGTTCGAGCGAGAGCAAATAGAAGTGATAGAGGAACGGAGGAAGAGAAGGTTAGAGGATAGATCAGGGCATCTGGAGACGTCGATTGACATTACATTTGAATAGTTGGAGATTGTAGCTATCAGGAAAAAAAGAAATGGGCAGGGAGTTCCACAAGCGAGAAGTGCGAGACATGAAGCTATTGGAGTAGAAGAGACGGTTACATTTATCAGTTGCGACAGTGAGAGCGAGATGCCAGCCTAGTAGAACGCTTAAATTCATGAAGTCTGGGAACCTGCGAAAGCAGCTCATCGGAGCAGTTACCATGAAAGTATTTGTAAAAAAGACAGAGGGGGGTAACGTCAGGTCTGTGAGACAGCAGCTGCAGACGAGATGCCAGATCAGGGCCAATAACATTGCATATCTGCCTTTTATTTGCTTGTCTGCTTTTATCGAGAACCTTGAGACCAACAGAAGAGGCTCCAGACCATACATGGCAGCAATACTCCATGCAAGGGCAAATGTTAAACTTGAAGGATTGACTCCGGCGAGAAAAATTTCCTGGCGCGTCACAGGGAGCGGACTTTCCTTGCAGTGGACGAAGCTATTGACTCAGTGTATTCGTTCCATCACAGGTCAGCAGATAATGTGAGACCGATCAGTCGCAAAGAGGTGCTCTCGTGGAGTTGAGCTTCAGACATCCTAATTGGAAGCAGGGATGATTCTAAAAAATGCGTAAATGAAAACACTTCATATCAAAAAATAAATATGCAAATTAAGTATGTAAATTAAAATATATATAAATGAAATTTGAAAATATTGTGTAACAAGAACATTTGAAAAATGTCCACCTCCGACGGGACTCGAACCCGCAATCCCCGGCTTAGGAGGCCGGTGCCTTATCCATTGGGCCACGGAGGCACTTCAGTAATGTCTGCTTTAGTCTAGCTGATTAAGTTAGTATTTGCTTTTTTAAAACATAAGCATTTCATGTACACTCTATATTTTTTGTAAAAGTAATTATCATTACATGAATTTTTCGTAAGTCTGCGTTCATCTGTGTTGGCTCGCCTCGAAATTATAGACAATGTCTTTAATATTCGCTATTTAAAATAATTATGAATTTATTTAAATTAATTTTAGAAGATAGAAATAGACAATAGAACATCTTAGGTTTGAGCCAGTGCAGAGGTTATCGCTTTTCTTTTCATTAGAACTCAAAGACCTGAATCAAAGTCTCAATATGTCATTTCTCGGCAAAACTCAAGAAACTGAGCCAGATTTCAGGCATCGCCTTTCTTCAAGGTAGAACTCAATATCCTGAGCTAAGCTATTGATATCACCTTTCTTTTTCTTTTTAATCTTTTCACCGCAAGAAAGGCGATAAAACCACGAAGACAGAAGGGATTACTGAGTGTGAAAGAATAAGAGAAAAAGAAAAACATTTTTGAAGAGGGCGAACAATACAAGATTAATGAAGAATACACTAGATAACGATTGACATTGCATTTATATTTTTGAAGATCAAAGTTGACTGAAAAACATGGAGCAGTGAGAGAGAGAGAGAGAGAGAGAGAGAGAGAGAGAGAGTTCCTCAAGCAAGTATTGCGAGAAAAGAAGCTGCTAGCATAGAACTTCCGGTTCCATCTTGCCAATTCAAATGCAAATTGATGAAATCTAGTTGTCAATCTAGTACTGCGCTTAAATTCATAAAATTTCGGTAACATAGCAGAAAGTAATATTTATTTTGTTTTGCACAAGGCCAAAAGGGTGTATAGTGGAAAACTGGTCTTCAGTCTGTCTTATCTTAAACTTAGCTAGCCACAGTTACTGACCTTAAGATACCACATTATATTCCTTACACCATTCTTACTACAGTCACCATAATACCTCTAAGTCTATATGTAGCCCTAACTAGCTCCCATATGTACAATTTGTTTTTGGATAAAATAACAACATTTAAATATGAAGCTCCAATGAATATTTAAAACGAAAACATGTACCATAGCGAACAATTAATCATACCATCCGAATAATTAACATGCAAGTATTTATAGAAAAAGCACAGGGCAGTGGAAAAGTGACTGAATCCGAGACGTCAGATCACGACTAATAATTTTGCAATATCTAAGGCATGGACGAATGGTAGACTTATAAGTATGTAAAATAGATACATGGGAGAAAAATTGTCTAACATGATACACTGAATCATTTTTCTTAGCAGCAGAAATATAATCTTTCTTCTCAACAAAACTCAAAATCTTTAACCAGGTTTTGGGCATCGCCCTTCTTCTTACTTTTATGAAATAAATGTGGCGCCATATTTTTGGGTTAATGTGAATGTTTTGGTGTGTATAATTCCCCTCTTATTAAAGTTGACGTTATCGATTGCGGAGGATGTTCGATG